GGTTTAAAGGGTACTTCCACCAAAAATAAACTGGGTTTAAAGGGTACTTCCCACCAAAAATAAACTAGGTTTAAAGGGTACTTCCCACCAAGAATAAACTAGGTTTAAAGGGTACTTCCCACCAAGAATAAACTAGGTTTAAAGGGTACTTCCCACCAAGAATAAACTGGGTTTAAAGGTTACTTCCAACTAAGAATAAACTGCTAACAAGAAAAAACAAACAAATGGTTTAAAAAATGTAATAAGAAAACATTGTACAACTTTCATTACATCTACTTCTCTGATAATCTTAAACAAAATGTCTAAACATTAATTTCTAATTTTGAATTACAATCCGGCCCCCGGCATGTTCTACCCTTCCAAGTGAGCAAACGAGTTTGTTATTTCACTCTTGATGAGGTTTAAGGTCGTATTGATAGTTCCGAATATTTTGTTATTATCAAATCAGTTTTCTAAAAATGAATTCCTTGACAACGCTGAATAAGATGTGCGTCGTATTCAAGAAAAATGTTAAGTCGCAAATTGATGACAATTCCAAGAAGAAACGTAGTATGGACGTTTGTATAGAAATATCACAAACCAAGATAGATAGTAGATAGATAGATAGATAGTTAGGTATAAAAATATTTCGGTAGAGATAGATAGATAGCGGAGGAAATTAATTATGACGCGCAACTATGAGTTGACCGTGTGCTGGTATAAAAGCCAGGAATGAGATATAAACATTAGTTGTCAATTATTGTCTTCAAACACGAATCAAATAACAGGTAATAGAATATGTTTCTAGGTTTATAAATCTTAAATATTTTAACATTTTGTCAGCTATATTTATAAGGAGTTCTGTTCAGTTTTGTGTATCAAAAATTGCAACTTTTGATAGTTTTCGAAAGAAAGTAAATATATTTCCAATTGACAATCTTACAGATACATTTTATCGGGAAGAATTCTTGGACACCAGGTTGCAAGAAATAAGGATTAAAGCATTTAGAGTTTGTGGCGAGTTTTTCTCAAAAAAAAAATCCACATATTTGTCCTAAATTACACCCGACCCTGATTAGCAGATGTGTATATTTTTAAAAATTGGACATTTTTTACATTCTTTTAGATACATTTCCCCGAATATTTATTAAATTTTCCTTTATTTTTTTTCCCACAAGTGAGCGAAAAATCCCTAAAACAATTATTATTTAACGAATGATTTATATAGAGGGGATAAATTTCCAAGCAAGTATAATATGATACACCCCTCCAATATAATATAATACACCCCTCCAATATAATATAATACACCCCTCCAATGATTACATCAATATTATTTACAATTCTTCTCCTTTTGTCAGTTTTCTCGCCGGGACGCTATCATGCCTCTGAACGCTAAACTAAGATCTATGGACCACGAGATTGCCCAGTTAAACATGACCACCCGGGACCTCAGGACTATCATTGGCTCCCTAGAGGCGCGGGTTGTAAGTCTAGAAGGAGGGAAACCAGTTTCTCCATGTCCGGAGGGCGAGAAGGAAGCAGCCTCTGATACTGATGTAAATCTACCAGGTTCTGATGAGGAGAAAGAGGACGCACAAAAAGAGTTGATTACAGCAGAACATATTAAGGTTAAATTCTAATATTAATTACAGTTAGGTTAGAATTAGGAATGAAATTAAATTTGAACCATGGTCAACTGTTGGAATATAAAAACCAAAAAAACAGCAAATTTGGATTCCCACCGATGAGACTGCTATACTTACTTTCCCCCTTTTCTTTATAAATTCGCAGGCTCATTTTGTGAATAGGTTTACTTTTTCTCTTATTTTGCTCTAAATATTTATAAATTTTAATATTTCCCTTTTCCTGTGTTACAAAATGTCTATTTAGGAATATGAGGCCAAGATGGCCAAGCATCCCATCATTGCAAAAACCTCCGTCCTTTTCGACGTAATGCCGAGGAGCAGCAAGACGGACCTCGATAAGATGCTGGCCTGCGTGAGGAGCATCTCAATGGACGGCCTCCATTGGGGCGCCAATGAGAGGGAGTCCGTGGCCTTCGGGATCGAGAAGATGAAGTTAATGTGCACTGTCGAGGACGACAAGGTTTCTATCGAGGATCTTCAGAAGAGGATGATGGGATTTAAGGAGTTTGTACAATCTGTAGAGGTGGTGGCCATGAACAAGATTTAGATAATTTTCTGTTTTCTAGATTTTTTAATTGTAAATAAATTTTATCCAAACTGCATTGTTTAACTTTTAAGATAAGTGTTCATATGTGACAGGAATTATTGTATGATGAGATATTCTCGCATTATAGAAAAGTAATTTCCTAACATTATTCTTACAACCCCGCCCCCCCCANAGATATGATTATGTAATCTTAATTCATATTTCTTTCCTAGCGCATTAAAAAAATTTCTTATTATTTGAAAAATGTATGGTGAATCCATTAAGCAGATCAGAGCTGGGAACTTTATCGTTACATACTCATAATCCTGATCGCTTAATCATCTCGCTATCCTCTGTGAGCACTTATAATCGTGGATATTGAGATTAATACTTGATCTCCTCTTTTATAATTATGCATTAAAGTCAACGAGGTTAAAGTGTATAGACTGATGATGTACGCAAATCCTTTACTAATTGTATAGGCCATCAACTATACCGAGAGCGTACTGCATATTTATTTATTATAAGAAGATTCTGGCCTAAACTATAGTACATCAATATTATCAAACACTTGAAAGTGTACAGTACAGCTAACAGGTAGAGAACTATCATCCCCCATGATTAAAGTGCCTTAAATTCTACCAATCAAAGTCTACCAAAAGAGAGTATTAAGAAAGTTATAAGTTTCCACAGTGAATATTCAGATTAAGGGTATCCAATTCCAAAGTTTTCAGCTCTGGGTATAGGATGCAGGATATCGAATAAAGGTTCAATAAATCCGAAGATAAAGGTCCAGATCAAGCATTGATCTCGATATCCACCATACAAGAGCAGGCCAAGCTCTGGTAAAAAAGTCACAGAGGTTCCTATTAAGTATCAGGAGGGGGAGGATGTCCACTGTCCAAAGTAAATTTCAAAGGATATTTTTTCTTATTTTGGTTTTTGTTTTAAAAGCTAACAATTTTATTGCATGTTTCGGTTGATATTTAACCTGTCGGGTCCTTACCAGTGCCCACAGCTTAAATAAAGAAATTAAAGAAATAAATGAACCTTTGCTACATTGAGATTTTTCTCCAGGTATTCTTCTAGTTCACCGTTCTGGAGAAGCTGCCCGTCAGCTAGCAGCGGAGCCATGTTAACCAGCCGCGCAGTCCTAGGAGAACAATATACAGTGGAGGAAGACGATGATTAAAGTGTAGGCTATATAAGGACATCAAATACAAAGGGAGATTGCTCAAAGGTCGTCTGCCAATTCAACAGTTATTGTGTCTCAATGCACAATAAAACACACATTTAAAAATCCATAAAACTGTCAAAATTTCATTTTCCATAAATAATCTTTATTTAACTAACATTTCGACAGAACCAATCTTACAAGGTGTCTATCGAAAAATATCTATTGTGAGACAGCTTTAGGGTCGTCTTTGATCCTTGCAATAATTTGCAGCATTCATTCGTTAACCTACTTTTTCATGCATAGTATACTGGTCAAGTCCTGAGTCCTGGCATATTTCAAAATTTGGTCTACCTTTTTATGGGCTTTTAATCTTACTGGAGATATGAACAACTTAGTTCAGATTTCAATCTAATATATAAGACCATAACTTTCCAAATCTGAACGAAATTCTCAATATTTCCGGTAATTTAGATAGCAGAAAAAGACAGAGCACATTTTGGACCAGTGGTAAATGTTAAATTATGTGAAGGCCACAAATTATTTCAAATATCAAAGACGACCTCTCTCAACTATCATGTTTTGTGGGATATCCTGTATAAAAAGTATGTCTGATTCACAACAATACCCTTTAACATTTCGTTTCCTCAGATAGGATTAAGCTATCCTTGTTTTTCTATCTAAAAATTGATAAATTTTGATAAAAATTGTTGGCGGATTCAAGCAACAGAGACAATGAAGCAAAGTGTGTCAGAATTCAACACTTTTCCAGTTAGAAAACGAGTATATGTTCCTCATTTATGATCAGGTATATGTGTATCAAGAACCACGACAGATGTGAATCAGGCGTGCCACTCATTCAAATTCTCTTTAATAATGGTTTAGTTTTGAATCGTTTTATCAGGTTTTATCAATCAGGTTTTTTTTAAGGTTTTTATCAGGTTTTATCAGGTTTTATCAGGCTTTATCAATCAGGTTTTTTTTTAAAGGTTTTATCAGGTTTTATCAGGTTTTATCAGGTTACAAGGTTTTATCAGGTTTTATCAGGTTTTATCAGGTTTTATCTGGTTTTATCAGTTTTTATCGGGTTGTATCGGGTTTTATCAGGTTTTATCAGGTTTTATCAGATCACTATTGGAATTTGTTGCAAACATATTTAGATACGGTTAGATTTGGATAATGTAAGCGCATACTTTCTTTAAAATAAGTGTCACTTAAAATTACAAAAATATTCCCTTTGTGAGGGGGGCAGGGTTACCTGTAGTTGGTCAGCTGACGGGAAACACTCTCCTCCTCTAATCTGGAAAATTCAATTTTTATTATTCAAATATTTTCATTATTCAAATATTTTTTATTATTCAAATATTTTTATTATTCAAATATTTTAATTATTCAAATATTTTTGCTATTCTAATATTTTTATTATTAAAATATTCATGTTCAAAGGCAAACTAACGATTTAATTTAACGATTTAACAATTTAACGCTGTAACACTGTAACAACTGTAACCAATTTAACGATTTAACGCTCTAACACAAATAATATTAATACTAAATTTATTACCGCTCTACAACAGCAACGCTGAAACATTCTAAATCTCTAGTGCTCTAGTGCTCTAGCGCTCTAATGCTCTAATGCTCTAATGCTCTAATGCTTTAATGATCAAATGCTCTAATTCTCCCATTACAGACCTGGCAACTTGATGTTCCTCCTCCAGGTCTCTCATAAACTGTGGTCTGGTTACTAGGTCTCCAACTAGACTGAACAACCTAAACATGGATATATAGAGGAAACAGTTTGTGGAATTTGAAGAATTCTAATAAACTTTCAATGTTCAAGATTTCTGAAAACCTGACGAAGAATGATTAATCCTTGTAATGAATGTGAAGAAGTTGGAGCGGAGCAGGTTTAATCTGAACCTACACATGAAAACTCGAACTTTCTCCTATATGATGAATGAATGAAGCATAAGATATTCTCTCTTTAAACTGTAGCTCATATCAAGACCCCAGCCCGAGCAACTTTGTAAGTGTGTTTTTAAATATTGAACATTTTACTAATATGATTTCTTAGTGATTCAAAAACTAAATTTCTTTACTGAGACCTGGATACAGTTCTCTCATAAACATGGATATATAGAGGATACAGTTCTCTCAAAAACATGGATATATAGAGGATACAGTTCTCTCATAAACATGGATATATAGAGGATACAGTTCTTTCAAAAACATGGATATATAGAGGATACAGTTCTCTCATAAACATGGATATAAAGTGGATAAACGTCTCCAATGAAAATGGATATAGAGGATACAGTTCTCTCATAAACATGGATATATAGTGGATACAGTTTTCTCATAAACATGGATATATAGAGGATACAGTTCTCTCATAAACATGGATATATAGTGGATACAGTTTTCTCATAAACATGGATATAAAGTGGATAAAGGTCTCCAATGAAAATTAATAAAGATCTCTCATATCATGGATATGTTGAGGTTATAGATCATAAACATGGATATATAGAGGATAAAGATCTATTATTAACATGGATATATATTATACACTATACAGGGTGTCCCGAAGGGATAGCTAGTGCCTCAATTTACGACCAATTTGAACAATTTTGAACATTTTTGATATCTTCTAAAATGATGATAGAATGGTGTAAAAAAACTAGAACCTTCTATCATTCTCGTAGCAAATTTTAGTTTGGGAATTTCTTTGATGCATTATAAGGGGAAGGGGTTGGCCTGCTTGATCACCAGACCTAAATCCTTGCTATTTACATTTATTAAGGGGTCTTAAATCCAAAGTTAATACCCTCAGACTAAGAAACTTACTTGGACCAGCTGTAACAAAGCAGTTTTTGAACCTGGCAGTTTTAAGAAAAGCTATTCTGGATGTCAGTGGCAGTGCATTAAAGTGCATAGCCAAAATTGGCGGGCATATTAAGAAATTTAAATATTTTACTGTAAACATTGATAAAATAGACCAATTAAAAAATATTGTTAAAAATTATTTTGCATCAGAGGAATTCAAAACTTCAAACACAATTCTATAGTTACAAACATGATAAACCCAAGGGGATTATATGCTGAAAGAAAAAGTACTTCCACTGTATTTATACACAACTTAAACCCACGGAGTAGTACAAGTACTCCCATTGTATTTATATTCATGACAAATCCAAGCGGAGTACATGCTAAGAGTTGGTACTAACTGTAGTTTTATACCTGAAAAACTTAAGGGGAGTACATGTCAAGAGTAAAAGTACTCCCACTGCAGTTTTATACCTGAAAATCCCAAGGGGGGTACATGCTAAGAGTAAGAGTAGTCTCACAGTAGTTTTATACCTGACAAATCCAAGGGGAGTACATGCTAGAAGTAGAAGTACTCCTACTATTGAGACACATGAGTAGAGAAATGGTAGATGATAACTGTATATATCTAAAAGAAATGATCATGATAATATTTCTAACTAAAAATCTAAACATTAAATAACTAGGAAATGAAGTTATAAAAAAATAACAAAAAACAAGAAAGTTTTGAAGTTGGCAGGGTTAAAGAATTTTTAAACAAATCTTTTTTTTACTTTTTGCCAATTCAGGTGAGGAAGTTTTCACATCGTAATTTGACCAAGGCCTGACATTGAGTGTACACTTATTACTCAGATAGTACTGGATAAAGTGAATAAAGTACTGGATAAAGTGAATAAAGTACTGGATAAAGTGAATAAAGTGCTGGTAAAGTGACTAATGTACTGGTAAAGTGAATAAAGTACTGGTAAAGTGACTAATGTACTGGTAAAGTGAATAAAGTACTGGATAAAGTGAATAAAGTACTGGATAAAGTGAATAAAGTACTGGATAAAGTGAATAAAGTGCTGGTAAAGTGACTAATGTGCTGGTAAAGTGAAAGTACTGGATAAAGTGAATAATGTGCTGGTAAAGTGACTAATGTACTGGTAAAGTGAATAAAGTACTGGTAAAGTGACTAATGTACTTGTAAAGTGAATAAAGGTAAAGTGAATAAAGTACTGGTAAAGTGAATAAAGTACTGGTAAAGTAAAAAAGTGCTGGTAGAGTGAATAAAGTACTAGTAAAGTAAAAAAAATGGGACTAGATTAATTTAAAAAACGCCAAGGATGCATTTTATTACTTACCCTGTATTTGCAAACTCACTGAAATCGTTAAAAAATGTATATTTTTAGCTTACTGTAGAGCTGGCTTATAGTTCCCTGGTCCCGGTCCAATATTGCAGAAAGAACAAATGTTATTCCTAAAACATAATTTAAAAAAAAATAAAATTAACAAACTTTTTTTCCTTCCTTGGCAGTTATTAAACGAGGCCCTGATTTCCGAGGAATAAAGATAGATTATTATAAAATATTGTAGAGAGGAAAAATGTTAGAAAATCTATTTTATTTGTAAAACGCTTAAAAACTTCATTTTTTTACACAAAAGAGATTGTCCATTAGTTCTAGAAAACCATTCCTATCAAAGGATTATTCAAAGCGCCAGCCTTTTAACCTTTATCTATAAAAAATTAGTAATCTTTAACTATTATTAATATTGCATTTATCTCCACACCAAAAACAAGCAAGAAAATAGCTTAAATGTGTCCAGATTCACATAAACAAATTGGCGTTTGGTTTTTAGATACCTTTGACGATGTACTTACAAATATTTAAATTTAAAGCGTAATATCAGTGCTTAGGATCCAGTTTATTTGATGCGGATTCGGATCCAGATCCAGATCTTGGATCCGCATTGGAAAAAAATGGATCCGGATCCAAATCCGAATCCGGATCCAATTCCAGGTTATTTCTTTAAAATTTACTGAATTTTCAAATTTCTTGTCTTATTTTTTTTGTTTATTTTTATGCTAAAACTCGATGAACCATTCGGAATTAGGAAATTTTGATAACCTCTTTTTTTCAATAGTTCAGGTTTGGGTTTTGAGATTAGATTTTAGTTGTTGCAGTTTTTGGTTCATATTGCGGATCCGGATCCGGATCCAGGAAGCCGAAATCTTGCGGATCCAACAGATCCGGATCTTAAGCACTGTCAGTAATATATTTATTTTCTGTCTAAATTCTCACCAAGTACAAGAGCTGAGAGTAGAAGTAAGGTCACAAAGGTCTCCTTGGCTCTTGGGAGAAGGCCGCGCTGAGCTCCTAGATTCGTTTATATTAGAACAATTATAATTGCATGGGTTCAAATCTGATGATATTCAGGAGAACTTGGGAAGGAGAATGAGGAAAACTTAAGAAAAACCACGGAATAACCAGAGGAGAACCTGAGGAGAAATTGAGAAGAATTTGAGGAGAACTGAGGAAAACCAAGGGATAACCAGAAAAGAACCAGAGGAGAAACTGATGAGAACCTGATAACCTGATGAGAACCTGAGGAGAACCAGAGAAGAACCTGAAGAGAACCAGATGAGAACCTGAAGAGAACCTGAGGAGAACCTGAAGAGAACCTGAGGAGAACCTGAAGACAACCAGATAATAACCTGAACAGAACCTGAGGCGAACCTGAGGAAAACCTGAGGAGAACCAGAGGAAAACCTAAGGCAAACCTGATGTAGTTGCTGTACTAACCTATAAATCCTTCAGATTCGCAAAGTAAATACGCGAAAGGCAGACAGGCAAACAGAGCTAGGTTGGTCAGTGTGAACATCAGATTCCAGATTCCCTAGAAAAATAATTTGTTCAGTTAATACATTTAAAATATAATCAAAAATAAACATTAGTAGATAAAAAATATTATTTGAAATTTGTTATAGGAATAATTCAATGTATGATACAAAATTATAATTTGTTATCATGGCATTTACACAAAAAACGATTTATTTTTAATTTGATTTCTTTTTGGCATGGCAATTCTCTCTAAAAAAAACTAAAAACTTGATTTAAAAAAACTGTTAAAATGAGTTAGGGGGAGTATACATAAATCTATTTTATTTGAAACCTGAATCAAGCTGGCGTTCAACCACTTCACATACCAGGATCTAGGGTAGTGATGCAGAATCTAGAAAAATATATTTTTTAATAAGATTCCCATTTTTTTGGTGAAAAAAAACCAACACTTTTTTATTATGATTCACAGATTAAACCCAGAAAACCCGGTTTTAAGCAGAAATATTACTCAGTGCTCCAAAATACTTTTCAGTGCTCCAAAAAATATTTACTATTACTAAATGACAACTACACGAACTGGCAATTACATTATATAACATGTATTGTCAATCTTCCATGGGGCTTGGGGGGTTTATATTACTTCGTTTGATATTGTGGAGATAGGAAGCAGCAAAGCAGCTCCCACAGATACAGCTAGAGAGAAGGAGCAGCACCAAAGAGATATCTAAACAGAGATTGTAACTGTGATGATATTGAACACGCTCCATCTTGATATCCAATGTGGGCACTTTAAATATTTGATTTTAAACGCTTGACAATCATGGGATACCAAAAAGGAATTAAATTATTCCTTAAATCTACAAAAGATAAATATGAATGTTTTATCCCGAGATTTACAACACAAAGTTCTGACAAGGTTGAAAACTTTAGAATGGGATATCATGAAACCCGAGCTGGGAACTTTAGAATGGGATATCTTGAAACCCGAGCTGGGAACTTTAGAATGGGATATCTTGAAACCCGAGCTGGGAACTTTAGAATGGGATATCTTGAAACCCAAGCTGGGAACTTTAGAATGGGATATCTTGAAACCCGAGCTGGGAACTGTAGAATGGGATATCTTGAAACCCGAGCTGGGAACTTTAGAATGGGATATCTTGAAACCTGAGCTGGGAACTTTAGAATGGGATATCTTGAAACCCGATCTGGGAACTTTAGAATGGGATATCTTGAAACCCGATCGGTTAATTAATCTGGAGATTGATAATAAGAGGAGAACAAGCATTATTTAATCTGGAGATTAAGAAAAAGAGTGAATCAAGCATTAATCCAGATATCCACCAATCAAAAGTTCCCAGCTCAAAATAATTCTAAAGTTAAAGGTGTCGGAACTGAGAGGTGAATATTTTCTTAAAAAATCATCCCTCACTCACTCTCTTGTAAAAAATATACCCTCATAGCTTATGAACCCGTTGACCACTGGTTTGCCTCTAATTTTTATTCAGGCACTTGTTACCCAACGGTAATGTTTTTTAATTTGATTTAACAACTTCTAAGTTGATTAAGAAAGTATATTTTCCAAGCAAAGTCGAGTTTCCGAGCTAGTTAAAGAAACATCACCATCGTTTGCATTGGTGGCTAAATTTTGGCTTCTAGGGAAAAAGTTGAACGGTTGATTTTGATTCGCTTATCTTCTCGATTAAAGCTTATAAATGACAAAATAACTGAACATAAACTATCTTTGCATTCTAAATCTAATCCTTATGTCTTTGTATCCTGATGTCGCTAGTAAAAGTTTAGACAATTAGCTGCACCAAGATATACAATACACATGGCTACATACAAAGAATGAGACCTCAGTGACGGCTGTACGAAGTTAAAAGTTTCTGTTTCTTAATATTTTTAATTTCTCTACAACTGTAAACTTTTTTCTTTCTTTGAAAAATCATTAAATGACAATCTTCAAGGCAATGACTTATTTTAACGTTGTAATTGTCATCTCTGAAGAGTTTCAGGTCGTCTTTAAAGATTCATCCTTAAAGGTAACCCTGTATAGGATAACCTAAACTAGAGTTTGTTGCGTGTGTGGTTCCGATCTGGCTCTATTATCTTTAAGAAATATTTAAAAACCAGATCCATTTTTTATATGGCGGATCCAGAATCCAGGTCCGGATCCGGATCCGCATGCCATCTAAATGGATCCTTAGCACTGTTAGAGATTTGCCTGTCCGATTTAAAATCCGCAATAAAAAATGATCAATTTTCTGATTTAGAAAAAACAAGTCTTATTAACCCTTTATCAGACAATTAAATTGTTGATCATACATACCACCTAACATATGGATGAAGGGTCACCAGGGAGTAAGGAATAGAAAGGAGATATAACTGACACGGTTCGTCCTACCATATGATTATACATGCTTTGCAGACGGGTACTCCATTTGTATAAGAATTATTCAGAATAAGTTATTGTATACGCAGTGTAAATGTACATCAGACAAATATATCTTAGTTAAATGAAGTACCCGTCTGCAAAGCATGTATAATCATATGGTAGGGCCAACCGCGTCAGTTATATCTCCCTTCTATATCATACTCCCTGAGGGTCACTCAAAATTACGTCTACAGGCCCATTAATATCCATTCAGTAATTCGACACAAAATCACAAAAGAAAAATTGAACCTAGTCAGAAAAGTCACAATTCAAGTTCATTCAAAATCTAGCAACTGACTTTTATCTTGCGTAGACGAGAGGTAAATATTGATTTTTTCAATCTTATTTTTAACTTACTTTAAGGTCGACTTCGGAGAGATATTCTTCTACAATGTCCATAATTTCAGGGGATATGTTTTATCTGAGGTCACAAATTTGAAAATTAGAAGTATTGTGAATACAAAAATCCGATCTAATTGAAAGAGATGTCATATAATGATTGATAAACAAAGTTTCTTTCTTTAACCTGAAAATTCTGTATTATATGGAATAGAAAACATTTAAACTTCTTGTTTTCATTTCAAAAATGTGTTCCTTGAGCAAAACTAGATTATATGTCCGGTAGTTTTTTTGTCTTCTCTGCTATACTATCTATCTATCTATCTGGAAGTTTTAGATTTATCGATTTATCCATAGCTAGCGGTCATTCTTCTGAAATTTAAAGATGCTGTGTAATTACACCAGTAAATTAGAAACAATAATAATACAGGGTGTTTCATATATCACAAAAATATTAGGACTAGATTTGATGTATAAAACTTGGAAAAGTTTGACAAAAAATGTATTTTTTTTTTCGATGAAAACAAATAATTTCTCAGTTCAGAATGGAGAATTAAACTTTAAGCAGGCCGCAGGAGTTGAAAGATTTTCAATGTGAAGGGCATACTGGAGAAAAAATAAAGAAAGATTTGTAACAAATAAATCAAATTACGGTTTAAATCTTCTTTCCATTAACATTATTTGTGAACATTGCCGATTAATAATAAAAGACATTATTTTTAAACCTCTTTCATTTTTATCAAAATTTTTTCTAGGCCAAATTTGTTCAGGTCTGAAGGACTGATACAATTTATTACAAGACTGTTAGTGTTTATTAGGTGTTCTGATTTTTTAATCTAAATGAAATTAAAAATGTTAATGTTATAATATTTCCATATTTCCTGTAAATTTTCAAAATATGTGACATTTACACAATACACATCTCCATTCAAAATAAAGAAAGACTTGTTTTGCTGGGTCCCCCTGTAGCTAATTCGAGTCTACAAGTCTGGGTCCCCCTGTAGCTAATTCGAGTCTACAAGTCTGGGTCCCCCTGTAGCTAATTCGAGTCTACAAGTCTGGGTCCCCCTGTAGCTAATTCGAGTCTACAAGTCCACAAAAATTTGTAAATCAATGTTACTTGGCCAGGCATGCATCACACAGCTGTATAGAGGAATTTAACTAAAATACATGAACAGGGTGTCAAAATATACCTGATAACAAATTATTCAACAAAATATTCCAGGTTCAAACTAAAAACGTGCTTTCACATTTTTTTGAACAAAATATTGAATTTAAAATATTGCAGATAAATTATAAAATATGTAAAATTTATATAAAAAAGTGTGTTCATAAAAATATCACATAATAATATGTCTGAAAGGGACCATGTCCGTGCAATTTCAATTGACAATTACAATAACATAAATAGTTTTATTCGATTTTACTCAACTTATTTAATAGCAGGTTGATAAAGATACTTTATCACCCTGTTTTAGGGAAAATTTAGGTATGAAATTTTAAATTCTTGATCAGAATAAACAAAGGGTCATTTGAAAATACGTTTACAGTCCCTTTGACTGAAAAAATATTCTTTTAATGATGAAAAAAATAATTAACATATATTACTTTATAACGAACCAAACCCTCTCACAATCTTAGAAAAAAAGAATTCGAGATCCGAGTTGTAATATTAATTCCTAGTGAATCTATTATTGAATACTACATCTCTCCTGTTCTGAGGACCCCTCCATCTAAAAAAATAAATATTGTTTTAATGTAGTGTATCCTGCTGTATCTGTAAAGTATCCTTCAATGCTTCTGCCTGCTGTAACCAGCACTTAACTGCTTCATGCAGCAAATCACGCCTAGATCATAAACAAATCAATCAATCAAAGAAAGTTTTATGACCATGATTTTCAAATGAAATTATTCAGCCTCCCATTTCCCATACCCCCCTCTCCTCTCCCTTCTCTTCCCATCCTCCCTCTTCTTCCCTCTGTCTATAAAATCTCACTGCCATAAATAGTATCTTTTAAAGTCTTAAAAATCTGCCACAAAAAGAATCTTAGTCCATAAAATCTGCCACAAATATAATCTTAGTCCATAAAATCTGCCACAAATAGAATCTTAGTCCATAAAATCCGTCAAAAGTAGAATCTTAGTCCATAAATCTGCCACAAATAGAATATAAGTCCATAAAATTTGCCACAAATAGAATATAAGTCCATAAAATTTGCCACAAATAGAATTTTAGTCCATAAAAATGCCACAAAAAAATTCTTAGTATATAAAATCTGCAACAAATAGCATCTTAGACCATAAAATCTGCCACAAATAGAATCTAAGTCCATAAAATCTGCCACAAATAGTATCATAGTCCCATAAAATCTGCCACAAATAGAATCTTAGTCCATAAAATCTGCCATAATTATTATCCTAGTCTAGAAAACCTGCCGCAAATAATATCTTAGTCCGTAAAATCTGCCACAACCCCACAAATAGAATCTTAGTCTAAAAAATCTGCCACAAATTGAATCTTAGTCAATAAAATCTGTAACTAAAAGAATATTAGCCGATATAATCTGCAAAAAATAAAATCTCTGTCCATAAAATCTGCTACAAAGTGAAGTCTTGGTTTGATGGTCTACCTGGTTCCCTTGGGTTCCTTCTGGAGTAGTGGAACCAGTACCCCTAGTCCCGCAGTATACCTGGCGAATAAAGACCAGTATTAAAGATTAAAACAGAGATTAGACCTGCAGAGCAGAGTTTAGAACTGAAGAACAGAGATTTGAACTAAAGAACAGAGATTAGAACTCAAGAACAGAGATTAGAACTAAAGAAAAGAGATTAGAACTAAAGAACAGAGATTAGAACTAAAAGACAGAGATGGGATCTAAAGAACAGAGATTAAATATGAACAGAGATTAGACCTGAAGAACAGAGATTAGAGCTGAATAACAGAGATTAGAGCTGAAGAACAGAGATTAGAACTAAAGAATAGGTATTAGAACTAAAGAACAGATAATAGACCTGCAGAGCAGAGATTAGAACTAAAGAACAGAGATTAGAACTAAAACACAGAGATTAGAACTAAAGAAAAGAGATTAGAACTAAAGAACAGAGATTAGAACTAAAGAACAGAGATTAGAACTAAAGAGCAGAGATTAGAACTATAGAACAGAGATTAAATCTGAACAGAGATTAGACCTGAAGAACACAGATTAGAGCTGAAGAACAGAGATTAGAGCTGAAGAACAGACATTAGAACTAAACAAGAGAGATTAGATCTTGAGAAGAGCGATACAAATTTAAGAGCAGAGATTATAACTGGAGAACAGATATTAGACAGTGAGAACGAGATTAGAACTAGATAGCAGAGATTAGACCGGGAGAACAGAAATTTAATAGGTCTGAAAGAATATATAAAAATTAGGCTTTTAGGGCGCTTCGCGCCCATCTTCTATTTAAATTGTGAACATGTTCTTTTTTTACATTTTCAAACAAAAAAGAAAAAATGTTGCGGATTTTTAAAAAAAAATTCGCGGATTTTCAGGAATTTAAATTTTTTATCAAAATTAAAAACCTTTAAAACACATTTTAAAAAAATTTTTATCATTCATAAACCTTCCCTGTGGTCACGTGATGTCCCACAAAAAATTTGGGCCCGATCAGTTCAGCCGTTTTGACGTTTATTGGATACAAATAAACAAACAGACAGACAGACAAACAGACAGACAAGCCAAATTTATATGTAGAAGAAAGCAGTTTAAAGCCAAAAAATTGAGGAATAGTAAGACGACATTTAAGCAATCTTATATGCTATTTTCTGTTGTTATACCAGTAGGTTTTAAATTATCAAATGGGTTTGTGCATACTGACCAATTGCGGTGTGTTGTTATTGGACTATTAGAAATCATAATGATAAGTATAATCGAACAGCCATCTTCCTATTCCACAGTTTTATGGGTCCGACTGTACCTATCTACAGCTTGCTCAATATCTCCTTGCAATTGATAGTTTCTGGCAGCAATACAGATCTCCAGACCTCCTTCCATACCAGGAGTAATCTAATCAATATAGGAGTGTATATATAGACCTCTTTCCACATTAAACTTATTATCAATCGATTTGTTAAAGAATTTTCTTTCCCGTTGTAAGCATTAACAACATATTTATCATTTGCCTTTCTTTAGTTTTATATTTTAACCCTATAAGTAAACCCTGAAAACATTATATTGTGGTCTGTACACTAAAGCTACTGCCGTTTTTTTACACACCTTGTAAATAAAATAAAAATCAACCCAAAAAGAACTGAACAATCGCCATACGTTAAAAAAATTCTAATCACTATATCTATACAAGCGGATGTTGTAGACTTTTGGATTTTTTTAAAAACTGACTTCTGTTAGATGAGAAAGTTTAAAAGAATTGAGTTTTTGTCATAAACTCATATTTTCTAATCCCTAAATCTTCGCTACCCAATGTTGAAGACCTTCGATATTTCAAACTATGAATTCTGTTTGATAAAATAAACTAAATTTGAAATATCAAAACTTACACTATAAAGGAAGCAAATAAATAGTAAAGTTTTTTCAACAATATTTACTAAAGCTTAACGTTGTATATTTGTTGTTTTATATTATGTGTCCAGTGTGGCAAGTGGACTTCAAGAATTTAAAAAAAAACTGTGCTTACTGGGTACTCAGTGTTTCTTCTAACAAAGTAGAACTATACGGTCCTGTTTTTTGTTTATTCCTATTTTGTAGACCTCGCCACCCCCCCCCCCTTAACCCCCCAAAAATATTTTACTCCGAAATTTTTTTCTTTAATAGAAAAATTTGAAAATGATTCCTTTAACAACCTGTGTGGGGGGGGGATTTCAGACAAAAAACACCTAAATATTTGCCAATAAAAGCGCGTGTACATTTATAAGGTTCTCTGCTGTTTTCACTGATGTTAAGATAAATAAAGTAAATTGAATTCTCAAGAAAGACATTTGTTACCATTTTTTCGAAGCAATAAATTTCCCTAACCTTCGCTAAATGATAGAGTTCAGCGTAGTTTGGAAGAGAATTGTTGACAACCTGCTGGCGGGCAACCTCTCGACTTGGCAGCTGGTCACGTGTCAGATTGAATAGTTTGGTTTGGTATCCTCGGAGGGAACTCTTATATTTCCCGCGTAAACTCTCGTCCTAAAACAGCGCCATTTTTATTTTTTGAGTAAAAAGATCAACAATGCGATTAAAATCAAGCGACACTGTCTCAAGAACAAAATAGTACCAAACAAAAAAGATATATGGGAAATTTTATTGTCGATTTTTAGTAGTAAAAATATGTTTTTCGACTTATTAATTATTAATATTTTTTGATAATAAGATTTCTCAGTCATCACTCATCGCTATTACAGGTTTAAAGGGATTGTAAGCATAATTTCAAGTGATCCTCAATGTAAAGCTGCCAATGCCCGATTCAAAACGGCACAATTGAATACTGAAATTGAAATGCACAAGTCCCTTATAAAGAGAAATCAAATAAAAAATATTAAGTTTTTAAATTACTTACATTTATATTTAATTCATGCTTGTTCAGAGTAAGGTTTCAAGTTTACCTTTGTGAATTGGACATTGTCATCTATGCATGGAGGGTCACTTTAAAATACACAAGTCCCTTTAAAGTTCCACTGAAAGTCATCAACACTAATGTAACGGTCTCTTAACAAATAAGAAAAAGAAGTTCTAAAAAATATAAACTATATTGTTTATAAGAACAAAGAATCGGATCTGAATTAAAATAAGTTTATTTTGCACAAGATGAAAGAACTTCCATCTTTAAAGAAAATCAAGTTACGAGATTTTGATTCAAAAGAGAATTATACCTTCAAAAATCTAATTTCAATGCTTTTGTGGAGAAAATAATGAAAAATTAGACATTAACTGGCAAATTTTGAAACATTTTAGGTTCGTTTATTTTCTACGGTTCGGCGGATAACCCCCCCCCCCCTCCCTCCCTCCCAAAAAACATCGGAACATATAAGATTTTTTTCTTTCTTTAAAGCATATATCCCTGATGAGATACGTAAATAAATTTTCATATTTGCTACAGAGGCTTTAATTCTTTACAAAAAAGTTTCTTGAAAGTGGATAAAAATTTAATGTACTACCAAAACTACTACATATAATTTCCTAAGGGGTAAAATTAAATTAACTGCAAACATAATTTCAAGTGACCCTCCATATAAAAAATGTCCTATTCCAAACAGTACCCTTGGTCAGATGCATGAGATGAGATATCTATCATCTTATCAGAATAAAACAATCACTTGCGCATTTCTTCTTAAGAAACAAGAAAATTATCAGAGTTATAAACCTTTCAAGCTAGAAAAACGACGATATTTTCCAGGTTAATGATCAGTTAAAGGTTGGTACAGTTGTGAATCCGTCAAGCCGCTATTTAATTAAGAAGTCACTTCAAATTACGTTTGCAGTCAGTTTAAGCAATAATTAAGGATAGGAAAATTATAATTGAAATTTCTAAAATAAAACAAGACATTCTTATATATATATGTTGCATGTAGCCGGCCAAACGGCTGGAACGATCGCGCTGAAATTTTTTGTGGACACTCATGGGTGGCCGGGGGGTGTTATAATAGGCTAAACAAATTCGATTTTTTTATTCAATTTTTTTTCCACGGGCAACGCCGGGCCCTACAGCTTCAATAACATATAACACCTTAAAATTACAGGAAATTCCAAGATATGGAAGGTCAGGGTGGGGGGGGATATCTTACTTCGGTATAATAGTATAATGTTTTGGCATATTCTGCTGCTGTTTCATAAAAATTGATTGATTGTTTCAAGTCTCCAGTACTCTCAGCAACAGCTCCCAACCTCTCATTCTCAACCATCTGTACAACATATATCATAAAAAAGTTCAGTTTGTATAATTAGTGTCTGTATGTAAGTTCAAGTAATTAGGGACCCCCTCTTGTCCCTCTTTTAGTTGATATTCTGCTGGTTTTGTGTACATTGAAGAAAAATTGGCGGATTTTTATTAATATCATAGTGGATTTCTTTAAAAGATTCAGAAAATATGAATACGTTTCTTTAACGATTTTGTGTAAAACTCGAGACCCTCTGAAAATCCGTTAAATTGCAGTAGGTTTTTAGAACCCACTACAGTGTTACATCCATACATTCATTCATGGCAGGGGCGTCAGGAATTTGTGAAGGGGGACTGACTCAGTAAAACTATGATTTCTAGGGGGATTGAATCCACTATAGCCCCCCCCCCTGTATACGCCCCAGACATTAGTATAAAAGTGATGCAATAATTAAATAAAACATTTTTTCAAAATTGCAAGGATTTTTAATTGAAATTATATTTTCAGAAAATCACATATTTCACTACCTTTTCCTCTGAATGTGGTTGGGGAATACTCAACTCTAACTTGAGAAATTGATCATCTTTTAACTCCTAAATTTAAATTTTCATCAAAAATACTTTCAAAGAAAAAGTGTCATGATATTTCTTTTTGATTATTTTTTAACGTTTTTGCGTAATTTCACAGTAAATAATATCTAGCCATTTGATTCTTTAAACTTGGAAGCTGTGCTTAGGATCCATTTGATTTTGATGCGGATCCGGATAAGCTGGATCCGCACTGAAAAAACATGGATCCGGATCCAGGTAATGAACATTTCTCTAAGATTTACAATTCCTTTTCTTCTTATTTTTTGCGTATTTTTATGCTAAAACTTTATTAACATTTTCGAGATATGGAAATTTTTGATAATCTCTTTTTTTATCAGTTCAGATTTTGGGTTTCGAGAGCTGAAGATTACCCCCCCCCCCCGTTTTTTGTTAATAATTTAACCCTTGGATACGCATCCGTGGATCAGCATATTTTTGCAGATCCGAATCCAGGGAGCAAAATGTTGCGGATCTAATGGATGCGAATCCGGATCCTAAGCACTGCTTGTAAGAAAATAAATTTGAACCTTAAATCCCATCCTCTGCTCAGGGTTCCTCTGTAGACAGGAGGAGAGAAAGGATCGACACTCAGGGCTTAAACTAATATCTCCGGGTATACTCACATCCTTATCTTCCTGGATCAAACTTCAAGATGACAATTTTCAGATATTTTGCAGTAGTATGGATTTTCAAGAAATAACGTTCTCCAGGCGAGCGCGGAGGGGTGGGTGGTTTTGGTGCTCTTGGGATATATGTGAAAATTTGGAAATCAAAAGGCAGTTTTATTTTTAGTTTTTTATACTTTTTACCTTTTACCCAAATGTAAAAAAGGGGGGAAACAAATTTAGAAGAATATATATACCCCTACATATTTTTCTCGCATGTTTGTCAAATGTTGTTCATTCATCAAGTCAAGTTTTTGTTCAGTTCTCTTTTATTTATGTATAACTTAGTTTCTGTTCGATCATGACTCATAAACTCCTGGACTGATTGGCCTCAAATTTGGATTGGGGAACTCGGTAGAACTACGGGGATATTCTTAGCTTGGTTTGAAAATTCGAAGTCGAGTAATTTTCTGGAAAAGCTGGGTTCCCAAGATGGTGTTGAATGTGAAGTGAGGAATTAAAGGTGTTGAATGTGAAGTGAGGAATTAAAGTTTTTCCTTGATTTTCTGAATTAGTTCCTCTAACGTTGAACTGGAGAACGGAGCACGTCCAAACAGTGCTTCAAACAAAATGACCCCAACTGACCAGATATCAACCTGAACAATAATTTCAAATTAAACTTAAAGGACCTATCGACGTTATTTCAAGAGTTCCATGCCTGATTCACAACGGCACCATTTTAACATTACTGAGTAACTCTAACAAAGATACCTTGTTTTTTATTTTACAAAGAAATAAATTCTATCGATTTTCTTACTAATCTCCGCTGCATAATCTTTTAAAAAGAAACTGCATAAAAAGGGTCATAAATTGGATAAACACAATAGAGAAAGTGTGAACAGTGAAGATAGTAAAAACAGAGTCAAAATTGATTTTAAAGAGTTTTTACAAATTATGCAATAAATGTACGCAACTATTGAGAAGAAAACCAATATTACCATATATTAAAACTCAATCAAAAAAATGTTCCGAGAAAACTGTTCAGTGTAAAACTGTTCAGTGTAAAACTGTTCAGTGTAAAACTGTTCAGTGTAAAACTGTTCAGTGTAAAACTGTTCAGTGTAAAACTGTGCAGTGTAAAACTGTTCAGTTTAAAACTTTACAATGTAAAACTGTACAGTGTAAAACTGTTTAGTGTAAAACTTTTTAGTGTAAAACTGTTTAGTGTAAAACTGTTCAGTGTAAAACTGTACAATGTAAAATTGTACAATGTAAAACTGTACAATGTGAAACTGTTCAGTGTAAAACTGTAAAGTGTAAAACTGTACAATGTAAAACTGTACAGTATAAAACTGTACAGTGTAAAACTGTACAGTGTAAAAATGTTCAGTGTAAAACTGTTCAGTGTAAAACTGTACAGTGTAAAACTGTTCAGTGTAAAACTGTACAGTGTACAACTGTACAATGTAAAACTGTTCAGTGTAAAACTGTACAGTGTACAACTGTTCAGTTTAAACTGTTTAGTGTAAAACTGTTCAGTGTAAAACTGTACAGTATATAAAGAAAATTATATAAATACAATGTACCAAGTACTGTATACACTGCACTAACCTTAGGTGAATAGCTCTTAGTAAGTACAATCTCTGGAGCCATATACAACGGAGATCCTCGTACACCCAGATCGTTTTCTCCTTCTGTACATGACACATAAATAATTCATCTATGCATACAATAAAGCTCTCGCTCATCTATTTATATATGTTAGCTATTGCTGGCCAAACGGTTGGACCAAATTGGTTGAAATTAGTTGAGGGAAACCCATGCTCAGTGGGTTTTTAAAATTCCAGGAGCAACTTGAGCTAGTTTACAGTAGGTTTATTTAGCCTTTCTATGAATAATTTCAGCTTTTCATTTGCCAGTCCTTAGAATCCGGAATTTTGATCCGTATCCGTTAAATTCGCAACATTTTGACGTCCTTCATCCGGAACTTCAAAAATATACGGATCTACAGATCTAGATCCAATTGACAAAAAATCAACCAAAAACTAAAAGAAATATGCATGACTTTGATTCAAATCCGGCTAAAATTTGTCAGGGCGGATCCAGGATCGGTTCCGCATCCTAAGCACCGCATTGCAAGTCTTAATATTTTTTTTGTACATTTAAAGATGACAACAACAATGTTTTACTCTCTATTTTTTAAAATTCAACAAGTCTGACAGCACATATAACTTTTAAATAAATCGGCCTAGTAGGTTAAGATTTTTGACGTGTTTTGGATACAAAAAAAAAAAAAAACCAACAGACAATGCAAACACATATAAAGGGACTGGTTTTCTAAAAAATATTGTCTTCATCATGAAAAACATTCTATTCATTTTTTATTAAAATTATTCACTTAATTTAAAAGCTAAACATTATTTTTTTTATAGATGATTTTGTCCAAAAATGTTTTTAAAGAATTTCAAAGCGAAAGAAATGTAAATATGAAATCTTATCAGAGACTTTTTATTGAAACAAGTTTTTAGCCGTCAAAATAAATAGTTAAAAGAATTGTCTTTTTTTAAGTTAATATTCGAATAGAAGTAAGTAAGTAAGTAAAAGTAAGTAAGAAAGTATTTATGAAATAAAACAAAAACATACAAAATTAAGTGTCTTTAAAGATAATAATGGATATTTTGAATCTATCTACAATTTGTTAAAAATGGTGCCGTGACAAACTCCTGAAAGACAAACTCCTGAAAGACAAACTCCTGAAAGACAAACTCCGGAAAGACAAACTCCGGAAAGACAAACTCCGGAAAGACAAACTCCTGAAAGACAAACTCCTGACGAGACAAACTCCTGACGAGACAAACTCCTGAAAGACAAACTCCTGAAATCCGATGTTAAAAAGATCCATTAACGCTTAAATGACCCTCAATGCAAAGACGGCAATGTCCATACCCTCAAACGTTTTGTCTGATTAAGTATGAATTAGATATCAATGCTTTTCTCTACAAAAGTGACTAGAGCATTTCTACTGCAAAAAAAGATAAAGGAATTATCAGAATGAAACACTTTTAATCCTAGAAAACGAGAATATCTTCCACATTATTGATCAGATATAGGTTTCAGGGTAACCGTGGTAAGTAAATTGGGCATTGTCATGTTTGCATGGAGAGTTTCACTTACAGTCCCTTTAAGAAATAATAAATATATCTGCAAGTACAAGAGAACCCTACAGGAAACCCTGAAAAGAAGAAAAAAAATTGAGAAAAAAACAAAGACAACCTTTATCTAATCAATAATGTGGAAGATATAATCGGTTTTCTAGCTTTAAGTCACTTTTGAAGATTGGAGAAACCACAATTGAAAACAATCAAAAAAAAATATTCATTTTTGACCCGACAAAGCATTGAAGGATACTGTTGTGAATCAGACATTCCACTCCAGATACGGAGGCCAGAGGGTCATTTAAAATTACGTTAACCGTCCCTTTAAAAAGTAATTTTCTATTCTCTAAAATGCATTTTCATTTCCTGCCTTGAGAACTGGGTTTCGATTTGGGGAGAATTTGTGAAGAAGAAGATTACTTGGCTTTAAATCCATATGACTGAAATAAAAATATATTTTATAAGTTTTTGTTGAAAATTATTTCATTCTAATAACAATAAAAATAATTAAACAATTATGAAACTGAACCTGACAATTTTGAAAGGACAAACTCCTGATGATGCCAAAGTTTTTGGCGAAATATATTGAGAAGAAAATGATATAATTCTAGTGCTAGAGAGTAGGGTTGGGATTTGTTTGAAAACGATCTAAAGTTTACAATTTTGAAAAGAACAAGAAAACTCATAAAAAAGGCGCAATTTTTACAAAAAGAACGAAAAAGTCAAAAAATTTAAAGGACATTGAAAGATATTGTTGGCTTAGCTTTATTTGATCAAATTTGTAGGATTAACTTTGTAAGATTAAATTTGTAGGATTAACTTTGTAGGGATCAACTTTATAGAACTAACTTTGTAAGATTTACTTTGTAGGGATTAACTTTGTAGGATTAAATTTGTAGGATTAAGTTTGTAGGAATCAACTTTGTAGGACTAACTTTTGTAGGAAATAGCTTTATAGGAACAACTTTGTAGGATTTACTTTGTAGGAATGAGCTTTGTAGGGATTAAGTTTGTAAAATTATCTTAGTAGGATTAACTTGATAATGATACCTGATATTGTGTGTTCTCATAAAAAGAAGAGCAGAGCAGAGTTGTTGGCAAAATATTTGCGCGAGGGACTCAGATAATACTTTTCTAAAAAAGTTCAAATTCAAGAAAATTTGTACACCAAACCAAAACAGGGTCGTTTAAACTAAGGGTAAGACCATTAGGCGCTTATTGATAAACAATTTCATATGCACGCGACCAAAAGGTTTCTAAAAGGAAAAAGTTATGATGAATAGGTTGATAAGAATCAAAATCCGAAGCTCCTCTGAAAAGCAGTGCTTAGGATCCATTTAATTTTGATGCGGATCCGGATCCAGGTCATTTCTATAAGATTTACTGAATCTTTTTAACAAAAAATAATTTTCAAATTTTTTATTTTTTTCGCATATTTTTATCCTAAAACTTGATGGAACATTCAGAAATGATGAAATTTGTATAATCTCTCTTTTTTTCAAAAGTTCAAATTTTGGTTTTAGGAGTAAAAAGTTTTTTTTGCAGTTTTTGGTTGACATTTTAGCACTTGGATCCGGATCCTAAGCACTGCTGAAAAGAAAAACAAAATACAAAATAACCTTTAAACCTAAAACATTAACACAGATGATACATTTTTGAAAATAGATGCGCGCGGTAGCTTTTCCACAGCAGTATGTACTGTTACTTGTGATTACTAATCAAAATATATAGTTTTTTAACTCTAAAACTCTAGGCTATAATACAAATGGATAAAGGAAAGGAACGGAGTTTTTGCCACAAACTCTGACTTTCTAACCCCTCTATATTTGTAACCCGATGTCTTGGACGTTTGATATTTCAAACTATTATTTCTGTAACATCAAATTGTCAAGTTTGAGATATCAAAGGTTTACACCATCAGGTTGCGAAGAAATAAGGTTTAGAAAATGTGAGTTTGTGGCAAAAACTCAATTCCTTTCTTGAATTTATCATGTCATATATTATTTTCTTCATAATTGTCCCAAAAGATTATATCTGTTAAAATATTTGAATTTTTTAAATTCCCACAGATCTGAGCAACCCTGATTAAAAACGAAGAAATTGATATGTAACATGATAATTTCATGATTTGTTTACTTTCTTTAGCAGTTTATCAAAACTTTGGAAGCGATTTTCTAATAGAATTCAAGATCTGTTGACCTAAACTTTTCAGGAAGCACTCACAGTTTGTAGTGGAATAGAAATAGATACAGCAATCCTAGCACAAGCCATTTATTAAAATTAGTAATCATTTGTAACCACCTTCTGCATCCTCACCTTTTCTTAATAAATCCAGATAGATCTCCAGCATTAGCGTATTCAAGAACAATATAAACGTGAGTATCATTCCAGGAAAAATCCATCATTTGGATTATAAAATTGTACTTCAACTTCTTCAACGAACTGGTTCATTAACAGTTTTAACTAGTTCTTAGGATCCGCAACATTTTCTCTTCCTAGGTCCGGATCCCCAATAATATGTGGATCCACGGGACAAAATAAACTTCTTGCTCTCAAAATCCAAATCTCAACTGTTGAGTTTTCAAAAAATTAGAACATTGTTGTTTTGTTAAAAAACCAGTAAATCACAAAGAAATGTTCATGACCTATATCTGGATCCTTTTTGTTTAGCAGGGCGGATTCAGGATCCGGGTCCACATCAAACTGAAATAGATTCAAAGAAAGGATCTGGATCATGGATTCGTCCTGTGATAGAATGATCCGGATACTGGATTCGTCCTTAGAAAGAGTGGATCTGAATCTGAGTCTTAAGATTTGTCAGAAAATCTAAATTTGTTAAAAACTATTCCTGATTTCATTTAGTAGATTCTCCCGACCCGCCGACGATAAACTTTTTTTCGGGATAAACTTGACGGCCACAGGACGGTACGGTTTACACTTCTCTTTTCCTAAATGAAAAATATATTTATTTTGAAATATATATATATTATACAATTATACTTTCATCAGTTAACTCTAATCCATATTCTGTAATAACACTTTAATTCTTATTTTAAGAAGTTACATCTATATCAGGGATTGTAAACTTAATTTTAAGTTAACAATTCACAACAATTACCTTATTTGTAAATTAACAAATCAACATTTTGTTTCTTAGAATTGGTGGGAAGTGGGGGAGGGGGGGGGGCCTANTCCTAGCCGCAGAGCTCGGCCCAGAAAGTGTCTTAACTAACGTAACCCATGGCCGCAGCGCTCGGCCCCCTAGCATGTCCTAGGCGCAGCGCTCGGCCCCCCTAGCCTGTTCTAGCTACAGCGCTCGGCCCAGAAATTGTCTTAACCTAACCTAACCCTAAAATAATACAAAATAAATTTTCTACTACCTAAATAACGATTAAAAAGCATGTACAAAATTGGTAGGAAGGGGGAAGGGGGGTCAAAAAATCGTAAACTAGGATGGACCCGGGATTGTAAAATAATGTTAAGCCTACACCTTAGAACAATTTCCTGTTATACTAATTAACAAATAAACATGCGATTTTTAAGATTTGTAACTAACTTATGATTTAAACATTTGAAAATGGAAATATACGGAGCCTAGACTCGTTAAGAAATTTGGACATAAATTTTTTCAGTGTTGACCCAAAATATTACATGTACATCTTTAAAAATAGGGGCGGGGGTCAAAAATGTTACTCTTAATGTATTATAAACAACATAAAAAGAGTTGATTACCTTTAAATACCTCCCCTGAAGTTCCCTCTCCCACCTTTCTCTCAAGAATGTAATTATCTATAAGAGAAGGCATTTCATACAATTCATCTGTAAAAAGAGGTTTTTTTTTAATAGCTTTTCACAGTTGAGAATGAAAAATGTCGAACACGAAAATAAACATACTATCTAAATATGCGCATATTTTAAAAATTGCCGGGAATTCTTAGTGAGCCCTAAATTGGATGCTATATCACTTGCACTAATGTCCAATTGAACTAACGTACTTTTGCACTGAAGTCAGCTGATTAGATCGCATAAACACTTGTGGCCGCAGCGCCCGGCCCCCAAGCCTGTCCTATCCGCGGCGCTCGGCCCCCTAGCCTTTCCTAGCCGCATGCGCTCGGCCCAAAAAAATTGTCTTAACCTAACCTAACCCTCAAATAAAACGTTATTCCGAATGGACGTTAGTGCGAATGTACATTAGTCCGATCAATCATTAGTGCAAACGATATTTTTCAGTTTTCTTTTCTCTCCGTTTTGAGAGTTGGGAGTACTTCGAGAAAAATTACGAAAAAACCGACACAGGACCCTGAGAAAAGAACAAATACTTTTTATGACTATTCTATACAAAAACTACAAACAACTTCAGAGAGAGTATTGCTATAAAATTTTCGAATCCGTCCTGAAATAGTTCACGGCTGGAAACCTTTGCTGAAGTCGTTTTGTTTGAATTAATCAGCATTTTTTGGCATCATATTGTTACTTTTTTCTGAAAATAAAACAAACTATTCTTAAAACGTATACGTATATTTATTAAAATCGACAAAATGTCTGTCTTTTATTCGAAAACTGTTAAATTCAAATCCACTATAATCTACCAATCACATTGAATACCCAGCTAACATTCGATCTCTGTTGTGTTTTGGTCTCCGCCATGTCGTATGTGCGATAGAGGAGAGGTTTCTATACCTCCATAGTATGTACTCCATGTCCCCTCCATTTTTTTTCCGTGCGTCTGTGCGCCTTCCAAAATTAAATAAAACAAGTTCAAATCAATCTTTCAACTTAGTTAAAAACTTTGAAAATTCACATGAAAATAACATTATGTCCATTAATTTTAACTTTTTTTGTCATTTTCATTTGAAATATTTTTTTCTCATTTGAGCTATTTTTTTTTCATTTGAACTATTTTTAAGTTCATTTAAACTATTTTTTTGTTCATTTAAACTATTTTTGTGTTCATTTAAACTATTTTTTTGTTAGCATTTGAACTATTTTTTTGTTCATTTGAACTGTTTTTTATGTCCATTTGAACTATTTTAATGTTCATTTGAACTATTTTTTTGTTTATTTCATTTAAAATATTAATAGTTCAAATGAAAATAGTTCAAATGAAATAAAAAATAGTTCAAATGAACAATAGTTCAAACGGGAGTAGTTCAAATGAGATAGCATGCGTCATTATGTTTGTTAAAGTTTCAAACAAATGTCACATGGGATAATTAAACAAGTATAATTAACGATCAATGAAAGCTGGAAGCAAGAATTTAACAGAAATAATTAACCATCACTGAATTTGATGTTAAATATTAACAGAAGTACTGTGATTTTTTATGTTTACTATTTATTTGGTGGTATATTTTTATCCTTTTCCTTAATAAATGAGCATATTATTATCTTTTATACAGTATTTTCTGAATGATAAGCAAATATGCAACTAAAAAAAATAGTACCAATGTGTTCTCAATATAGTGTTCTATATAGAACAATTAGGCAAGTACAAAGTATTTTTTACATCACATGTTTAGTACAAAGTGTTTCCTACAAATTAATAAGTAAGTACTATAGTGTTCTACAAAACAATAGGTAAGAAGTAAGAACATATGTGTTCTCATCAGAACATTAGGTAAGTACTTATCCCAAGTAACAAAAGTGAGGAATTTCCCCAGATTCTCCAACCGTGGTGACTTTCTTTAAGGAATTTCCGAGGAATTTCTCGAGAATCATTTCCTGTAACTGATTCCTCGGAAATTCTCGAGAAATTCCCTAGAATTGGCCCCCAAAATCAGAGATTTTTGTGGGATCACAGTTTTGAGACTCAGTTTCGAGAAATTCCTGAGAAATTCTCCGGAATTTTTCCCCACGAAATTCCTCAGAATTTCTCCAGAAATATTCTCTGGAAATTCCTGAGAAATTCTTAGGACTTTGTCACCATATTTACGGATTTTTCGGGGAATTTATTAATAGAATTAGTTTTGAGAAATTCCTGGGAATTTCTCCGGAATTTCACCCCAAGAAATTCCTGAAAAATTCTCCGAAATGCTTCTCCGGAAATTCCTGAAAAATTCTTAAAACTTGGTCACCATATTTAGCGATTTTAAGGGGAATTTAATAAAAGAATTAGTTTCGAGAAATTCCTGGGAATTTCTCAGGAATTTCACACCAAGAAATTCCTGAGAAATTCTCCGGAATGCTTTTCCCCACGAAATTCCTCAGAATTTCTCCAGAAATATTCTCTGGAAATTCCTGAGAAATTCTCAGGACTTCCTTACAGAATTTTCAAGTTCAGTTTTTCACCAATAGGTGTCTCTGAGGTTCTCTTCTTTTATGCACTGCTCAAATTAAATCTTTTTTTCTTTGCATCCTTATTGATAAAAAATGATAATTTACTTCAGAACCATCTTTTAAAAAAATATTTAAAAATTTTAAAACTTTTTTTTAATTTTTTCTTGACAATTCATTTGTCTGAATAAACAAAATACATGATAACTTCAGTAAGATCAAAAACGACTATAACATTCTGACTTAAGAAGATGGTTATTCTTCTAAAAAGTTGGAGGGGCAATATAGTTGTTAAGTTATTCACTACTTTTGTTAGTGAATAATTTAAGATATTCCTGAGGAACTCTTGATAAAATCTTGGGAATAATTCCAGGGAAATTCCCAGGAATTGGTTCTGAAGACCTTTTTGTTACAAATTTTCTCTGGTTTTTCTGAAGAATTGGTTACAAGAAATTCCCTAGAATTGGTTACAAGAAATTCCTTGGATAGAGTTACAAGAATTTCCTCGGAATGGGTTACAAGAAAATCCTCGGAATGGGTTAAAAGAAATTCCTCGGACATGGTTCCTGGGAATGGGTAACGAGAAATTCCTCGGAAAAGCTGTCGACATTTTCACCGGATTTTCCTGTGAAAGATTTCTGGGAATTTCCGCGGATTCCCAGGAAAGATTCATGGGAATTTCCGCGGATTTTCCGCAAAATTGTTACTTGGGATGTGTTTGGTTTTGTTCATTGGTACGTCAAATAATGTTATTCAATGTAACTTTGGTGAAAAATGAGCATATATTTTGGATTGATAAAAATCAAATTTTGGTTTCTTGTAAACATATTGTCATTGTTACGTTAAATAACATTACTCAACCTAACTTTTGTGAACCCCTATAACCAACCGACGTCCACAAGACGTTAGGACGACGTCGGTCTTAGGTCGATACAAGGTTGTTTTGACGTTGCCACGACGTAAAGTGCAACCATTTTTGACCTTGCAGCGACGTCGCATTGACGTACCGGGCGACCAATTCACAGTGACCTCTGTGCGACCTATAAAATCTGCTTCCGACCTATTACGACCTATTTTTGACTTTGTAGCGACGTCGGACGACCTCCACAGCAACCTAAAAAGTCTGCTTCCAACCTTTTATGACTTCCTTTCGACCTACTGCAACTTCCTTTTGACCTACTACAACTTCCTTTCGACCTACTACAACTTCCTTTTAACCTACTGCAACTTCCTTTAAACCTACAAATAACTAATAAGTGATTAAATCACATAAAACCTACGATAATACATTGTACAATTTCAACATTTAACCTGCAGAAATAACCAGAAAACTCCGAAATAGGAAGACAACTTTATAGCCAAATTTAAGTGAATTGAAAATTGTTACAAAACACTTTTTTACAAGACACCTATTAAATTATTAAGAAATGAGTCTGTTTACAATGCTCTGGAGCAATTGGACTATACATATAAGTCAAAGATTGTGTCTAAAAGACGTTTTTATATTTTAGAATTTTCTGATTCTTACTGTATACTGTAATCGTAAATCAATTGCTGCTGCAGACTTTTCACAATTTCATAAAATTTTTGGTACAAAAAAACCACCAAATTCTATCTTGGTTGTTTGCAAAATTATGAGTTTTGAAAATTTTTAGAGTGAAGGGGAGTTTTTACAAAAGTGTGGAGTTGGAACAGCTGTTAGCAGTTGGGAGTTTAGTACTCCCGCCCCCGACTCAGCTGGCCTACCCATACCGGTACTCTTATCCGGTTAAATGTGATCTTTAAAAAGTCGGAAATAATATCATTTTTCAAAAAATTTTATTTACGATCATGATTAGAAGTACCGAGACCCCTTGATAGGGGTCCGAGACCCCCTTGACACATCTATATCCCTNACCTTGCAAAATGATGCGACCTAAAATGACCTAACCTGACCAAAAATGACCTTATAGATTAAGGTCGTTTAAGGTCGGTTAAGGTCATCCGACCTAGCTCGACCTAAAATGACCTTAATCAACGTCGCCTAAGGTCGTTTAAGGTTGGTTAAGGTCATCCGACCTAGCTCGACCTAATTCAGACCTAAAACAACCTAGATTTAAGGTCAGCTTAGGTCGGTGGTGTGTGGGGAAAGCTGCTTCCATATTTAGGGTTCATTAACATATAGTTTGGTTCATGCACGGAACCATATGTTGTGTTACGTTAATTAACGTAACTTCCGTGGAAACTGTGCCCATATTTGGGGTTTCTTTTGTGAAAGCTGCTTCCGTGTTAAGGGTTCATTGACGTAAAAGTTTGGTTCATGTATGCAACTATATGTGCATTGTTACGTTAAATAACGTTACTTGATGTAACTTCCGTGGAAACTATGCCCATATTTGGGGTTTCTGAACGTAAAAGTTTGGCTCATGAACGTCAGATAACGTTAAACTTAACATTACATAACGTACCCTTTTTTACGTTACACAACGTAAAAGTGGGTACGTTTTTACGTTCCTGGAATGTTAACCCAGATAGCCAAATTGCGCAAAAAGAGTGCAATTTAAACGTCACTTTTCGCATTTTTTACATAAATTTTACGAAGAGATTTTGTTTTTTTTTACGTCATGAAA